TGGGAATTTTGGGGGAAAAATGGGAATTTGGGGGGAATTTGGGGGGAAAATGGGAATTGGGGGGGAAATGGGAATTTTTTGGGGGGGAAAAAGGGGAATTTGGGGGGGAAAAATGGGAATTTGGGGGGAATTTGGGGGGAAAATGGGAATTTTGTGGAGAAAAAGTAGAATTTTGGAGGGAAAAATGGGAATTTTGAAGGAAAAATGGGAATTTGGGGGGAAAATGGGAATTTTAGGGAGAAAAAGTAGAATTTTGGAGGGGAAAATGGGAATTTTGAAGGAAAAATGGGAATTGGAGGGGGGGGAAATGGGAATTCCAGGGGAAATTTGGTAATTCCAGGGGAAAAAAGGGAATTTTGGGGGGAGAAAATGGGAATTTGGGGGGAAAAATGGGAAATTTTGGGAGGAATAAACGGGGGGTTGGAGAGAAAAAGAAGAATTTTAGGACCAAAAATGGACCCAGTGCCCTCCCAGTCCCTCCCAGTCCATTCCCAGTCCATCCCAGTCCCTCCCAGTTCATCCCAGTCCATCCCAGTCCATTCCCAGTCCCTCCCAGTCCATTCCCAGTCCCTCCCAGTTCCCTCCCAGTCCCTCCCAGTCCATTCCCAGTCCCTCCCAGTCCATTCCCAGTCCATTCCCAGTCCCTCCCAGTTCATCCCAGTCCCTCCCAGTCCATCCCAGTCCCTCCCAGTCCATTCCCAGTCCATTCCCAGTCCCTCCCAGTTCCTCCCAGTGCTCCCAGTTCCCACCGCAGGTCTCTCAGGCTCTCCCCGACGCTGAACTCGCTCAGGAGGCGCCGCTGGGCCCAGTCCAGGGCAGCCACGTGACCCCGGAGGCCTCCCAGTAACAGCTGCCTGCGGGAATGGGCAAACTGGGATGGACTGGGAGGGAACTGGGAGAGACTGGGATGGGGTTGGGAGGGACTGGGAGGGAACTGGGAGGGAACTGGGATGGACTGGGAGGGGATTGGGGGGAACTGGGAGGGACTGGGAGAAACTGGGATAGACTGGGAGGGACTGGGACGGACTGGGGGAGCATTGGGGGGGACTGGGAGAGACTGGGATGGACTGGGAGGGGAGTGGGATGGAGTGGGATGGAGTGGGAGGGGAGTGGGAGGGACTGGAAGGGAACTGGGAGGGAACTGGGAGGGAACTGGGAGGGATTGGGAGGGGCTGGGAGGGGCTGGGGGGGGGTGTGGGGCGCCTGGGGGGGTCTTGGGGCGGGCTGGG